TATGAGGAGCATATAGCAAAAAATGTAAAGACCAACAATAAAACTTTCTTCAAATACATTAGAAACAGGAAACCAGCCAGGGAGGCAGTGGGGCCCTTGGATGACCAAGGGGTAAAAGGAGTACTGAAGGATGATAGGGAAATGGCTGAGAAGCTAAATGCATTTTTTGCCTCCGTCTTCACTGTGGAAGATGAGAGGTGCTTGCCCACTCCAGAGCCGCTGAGTTCGGGAGGGGTGTTGAAAGACCTGAGTCAGATTGAGGTGACGAGAGAGGAGGTCCTAAAACTGATAAACAACTTAAAAACTGATAAATCACCAGGCCCAGATGGCATACATCCAAGAGTTCTGAAAGAACTCAATTGTGAACTTGTGGATCTCCTGACAAAAATATGTAATCTCTCCTTAAAATCAGCCTCCATTCCTGAGGACTGGAAGGTAGCTAATGTCACTCCCATCTTTAAAAAGGGTTCCAGAGGAGATCCGGGAAATTACAGGCCAGTCAGTCTGACGTCGATACCGGGTAAATTGGTGGAAACCATTATTAAGGAAAGAATTAGTAGGCACATAGATGAACAAAACCTATTGAGGCAGACTCAACATGGGTTCTGTAAGGGAAGATCTTGTCTCACTAACCTGTTAATGTTCTTTGAGGGGGTGAACAAACATGTGGACAAGGGGGATCCAATAGATATTGTTTACCTTGACTTCCAGAAAGCTTTTGATAAAGTTCCTCATCAAAGGCTCCTAAGCAAGCTCAAAAATCATGGGATAAAAGGACAAGTCCTTTTATGGATCAAAAACTGGCTAATTAATAGAAAACAGAGAGTGAGTATAAATGGGCAGTTCTCCCAGTGGAGGGGTGTAAGCAGTGGGGTACCACAGGGATCAGTACTTGGTCCACTGCTTTTTAACTTGTTCATTAATGATTTGGAGTTGGGAGTAAGCAGTGAAGTGGCTAAATTTGCGGATGATACGAAGTTGTTCAGGGTGGTGAAAACCAGTGAGGATTGTGAGGCACTCCAAAGGGATCTGTCAAAGTTGGGCGAGTGGGCGTCAACATGGCAAATGGGGTTCAATGTGGCCAAGTGCAAGGTGATGCACATTGGAGCCAAAAATCCTAACTATAAATACACGTTGATGGGGTCTGAACTGGCAGAGACAGATCAAGAGAGAGATCTTGGAGTTGTAGTAGATAACTCACTGAAAATGTCGAGACAGTGTGTGACTGCAATAAAGAAGGCCAATGCTATGCTGGGGATTATTAGGAAGGGTATTGTAAACAGATCAGCCAATATCATAATGCCGCTATATAAATCAATGGTGCGACCTCATCTGGAATACTGTGTGCAATTCTGGTCACCACACCTTAAAAAGGATATTATAGCTTTGGAAAAAGTGCAGAAAAGGGCAACTCGAATGATAAAAGGGTTGGAACACTTTCCCTATGAGGAACGGTTAAGGCGCTTAGGGCTCTTTAGCTTGGAGAAACGACGACTGAGGGGTGACATGATTGAGGTTTATAAGATTATGCATGGGAAAGAGCAGGTAGAGAAAGAGGTACTTTTCTCCCTTTCTCACAATACAAGAACCCGTGGGCACTCCATGAAATTGCTGAGCGGTCGGGTTAGAACGGATAAAAGGAAGTACTTCTTCACCCAAAGAGTGATTAACACTTGGAATTCAGTGCCACAGGAAGTGGTGGCGGCTACAAGCATGGACGGCTTCAAAAGGGAATTAGATAAGCATATGGAGCAGAGGTCCATCAGTGGCTATTAGCCACAAGGTATAGATAGGGACTCTGGGGCAAGTGATGCTCTGTCATCTTGGTGCTTGGGGGGGGGGTCAACAGTGGGAGGGCTTCTAATGTCCTGGCCCCACTGGTGGACCTCCTGATGGCACTGGTATTTCTGGCCACTGTGGGATACAGAGTGTTGGACTGGATGGGCCTTTGGCCTGATCCAACATTGGCATCTCTTATGTTCTTATGTTCTTACCTATCCTATAGATTCAGGTGGGTCGCTGTGTTGATCTGAAGCAATAGTACAAAGTTTAAGTCCAGTGGCACCATTAAGCTTTTGTGTGCATCTGATGAAGTGTGCCTACACACAAAAGCTTATACCCAGAATTAAAATTTGCTGGTCTTAAAGATGCCACTGGACTCAAACTTTGTTGTATCCTATAGATGTGTGAGTTCTTTTTTCCCACTGGGTGAAGCCTAGCTAATCTGGTAGTTTTTCTGTGTTTCTCTGCTGCTTTCCCCAACTTTCTCTCAAGTAGTGACCTTTCCCAATTTATTTTTATTTATTTTTGTATTTATACCCCACCCTCCACGCAAACAGGCTCAGGGCGGCTTACAAGAGGGCAAGATATGCCCATGCATAAAAACAGGATAAAAACAGTAAAAACCAACGAATATTACAAATAAAGTGCTCAAATTTAAACAAGATGGTCATTCATTAGAGGTAGGTGGTTTTTCATGGAGGTAGGTAGTGTCCAGTAGGTGTTAAACTGTCCAGTTTAGCGGTACCAACACAGCACTGAGGTAGGCAGTGTCCAGTAGGTGTTAAACTGTCCAGTCTAGCGGTACCAACCCAGAGCTTTCCCTCTGCTCAACTCCCCCCCCCCCAGGTTCCCCAGCATTTCATTGGCCAATGCCACTTAGTATCCACCTACTCACCCTGTAGGCAGGGATTTGCTGGGATTCCTGAAGGGCAGAATGGAAGGTTCAGTTCTTACTCAGAATGAGAAGGTCCAGTCTACAAGCAGCTCTGGTCTCCTGGCTGACAGTTGAGTGGACCAGGTTGCCTCTTCTTTCCCATCTCTAGCTGCAGTACTGTAGAGGCAGACTGCATCTCTCCGCATCTGGAGAGTGGAGCCCTTGGGAATATGTCTGCTGCACTGCCTGATTGAGATCTGGTGTGAGTTTCCCACCTTGTTAACAGTTATTTAAGCCCCTGCATGCTTAGAGCCATGAGCCAAAGGACTCTTGGCTCAGCCTGTGGCCCTGAGTGAGCCAGCCAAGTGAATCCAGGACAAGCCCAAGAATTAAAGAGTTGTACATTTTTTCTCTTTGACTCTTTGTATATACATTTTTTTCTCTTTGTCCACCACACTATGTCAGAATTCCAAAGGTGGCCAGAGGCTCAAAAAGTTTGGAGAGCCCTGGATTACAAAATATAAACATTCAAACCAGGGGTCGTTTCGTAGAGAAACAGGTGCAGGAGCTCATTAGCATAACTCATTATCATACCTTATTTGCATATGCCACACCCCCTGACATCACCGGAAGTGTGTCAGAAGGCAACACCCACCGCTCAGGCTCCACTGGACTGTTTTGGATTGCTAGCTATGGGGGGGGGGGAACGTGCAGATCTGCCCTTGCAGAGGAGGGAGAGCTTGTACCTGAATAAAACTTGGTCTTAAAGGTGCCACTGGACTGTTTTGGATTGCTAGCTTGGGGGGGAGGGACGCACAGATGCAGAGAGAGAGAGAGAAGAAGGGAGAGAGGGAAAGAAAGAGGGAGAGATGGAAATGAGGGAAACGGAAAGAAGGAGAGAAGGAAAGAAGGGGGGAAGTAAAAAAGGAGGAAAAGAAAGGAAGAAAAAGAAGGAAAGAGAAGGAAAGGAGGAAAAGAAAGAGGGAGAGAAGGTGCAGGGGATGGGTCTTGTTGCATGTGCCCGCCCCCTGGGCTCTTTACTGCCGGAGCTCCGCTCCTGTGCGCTCCTGCAGGAAATGACCCCTGATTCAAACAAACAACAAGGACTTCCATTAAGCAATTCTGTACTACAAGGATGACGGAATTAGACAAAAATACAAAAAGCTGTCTGAGGCATGACAGTATAAAATAGCTGTTGTCTGCTAGCTGTCAGAAGCTATTGCAAGTGCTGTTAAGTCATAGGTGACTTATGGCAACCCTGTGGGGTTTTTGAGACAAGAGACATTCAAGGTGATTTGTGGTTGGCTGCCTCTGCATAGCAACCCTGGACTTCTTTCGTGGTCCCCCATACAAATACTAACCAGGGCCATCGCTGCTTTGCTGGGGTGAAACGGTGTGAATCCTGTCATAAATCTTTTAAGGGTGAATTCTCTATGCAATTGGCTAAAACAGAATTAGCAGTTAGCGGGACTGAAGAGTCCTGATTTTAAAAGCCGGTGGGGGGTAGGGACGGTAACATCATGTTGGAGTAAAGCAGGGAGAGATTAAGGAATGAAGGGGTAAAAACGGTGTTGTAGCAGACTTGTTTTCATTTTTTTTAAATTTCATTTTCTGTGTTGCTTGACATGTGTCTGATACTTTTTTGCACTTTTCTAGATTTTGTAATCCTAGTCCTATTGCATTGCTTATTAGGTCTCTCATGCTATTCAATTACATTGTTTTATGCCATGTAATCCATTTTGAGACTCAAGTAGGAAACTGGTAAATAAATTATAAAGTGTAAATACATAATGATGGTCTCACCACCACTGCACTCATCCCCCTCAATAAATATTGTCTCGCTTATTGGGCCTGGGTGACCCCTATGAATTAATGACCTCCAAAACGCCCTATCATTGACAGCCTTCCTCAGGTCTTGCCAACTGAGGGCGGTGGCTGCCTTCGTTGAGGCAATCCATCTCAGGTTGGGTCTTCCTCTAGCCTTATTGCCTTTTCCTGTGAGTCTTGGTGGTCTGACGATGTGACCAAAATACGACAGCTGCTTGAACTAACTCTGCCTGCCTTCACTTCAGCAGGGACGGCATAATGAATGGGTTCTTTTCCTCCTCATATGCGTTTCCCCTTCATTCCCCTAACCCTTTGCGAGAAAGGAAAGTGCGGAGTTTAAGGAGCCGCTTTTGGAAGTTCGCGGGAGAAACGTGTTTGGTGCCCACTTTTTCTCCGAGGAGAATTTGGCGGGCGCGGCTGCAATGGGGACTCCCGGCCAGCGAGGCTGAGGGGGGCGCTGCGGTGGGAGGCCTCAGCCGGCGGCGGCGGCCGCGGTGGGAGTCGAGGGCGAGGGGGACGCGTGGCGCCGGTTCCCGTTGGCTGCCTCTCCCTCCGCCGCTGGGCCGGGGCGGGACGACGGAGCCTGGCCTGCCTGCCCGCCCGTCCTCCTCCTTGCCTGCCGGGCGGTCCTGGCGGTGCCGCTCGGTGGGGTCTGCATCGCCATGAAGGACTGCGAGTACCGGCAGATTCCACCGGGCACCCCGGCTGCGCCGCCCTCCTCGGCGGAGCCCCCCGGGGCGGCCTCAGTTGCAGTCGCCGCCGCCGCCGCCCCGGCCGACCGCCAACGCCGCAAATGGGAGGTCTTCCCCGGGCGCAACCGCTTCTATTGCGGCGGTCGCCTCATGCTGGCGCGGCACAGCGGCGTCTTCCTCCTCACGCTCGGCCTCGTCGTGGTTACCAGCGGCCTCTTCTTCGCCTTCGAGTGAGTGAGCCATGGAGCCGCCTGGGGGGCGGAGGGTGGTCTCCCCCCCGCCCCCGCCATTATTTTTTTTTGTTTTATTTTGATATTTTTTATACTCCGCTTAGATTCCCAGTAGCGGAGCTGCGGTGGCTCAAGTGGTTAAGACGCTGAACTGCAGGCTGTGGAAGGTCGGTAGTTCAGCAGTTCGAGACCCGAGTGTGCCGCATGACGGAGTGAGCTCCCGTCTCTAGTTCCAGCTCCTGCCAACCTAGCAGTTCGAAAGCAAGAAATTGCAAGTAGATAAATAGGTACCACTTCGGTGGGAAGGTAACAGCGTTCCGTGCGCCTTGGTGTTTAGTCATGCCGGCCACATGACCACGGAAACGTCTTCGGACAGCGCTGGCTCTTCGGCTTTGAAACGCTAGAGTCGGATTCGACTGGCTTTCGAGCAAGGGAACCTTTACTTTACCTAGATCCCCAGTAGGGACCCAAGATGGCTTACAACAGTCGTCTCCATTTTTATAATACAACAGCCCTGTGAGGTAGGCAAGGGTGAGAGACAAGGTGACCGGCCTCGAGCCACCCAGTGAGTGTCATAGTCAGCTGGGATTATTTATTGTTAATTAGTTAGGTTCTACTTCGACAATCTAGCCAGTGTTTGTATCCCACTTTTTAACCTCAGCGGTTCTCACAGTAATCATAGCAGTGCTGTGGGCACTGGTGCTGCTATATAAATAACGAAATAATCATCAAAAGTTGATTTGATGGTAAGAAATAGAATAAAATAATCACAGAAACAGTAGTAAGGAATTATTATGGAATACCATTAAAATGTAAAATTGATAGTAAGAATTAGAATAAAATATCATTAATGTTTTAACATCAAAGATGTAAGAAAGCAAAGCCACAGAATAATAGTGGTACTGTGGCAAGTTCTAAAATGTTCAGGTTTTGGATCAAACAGGAAAAAACATCAATTGTCATTTGAAGGACTCCGCTGTCCTCCTTTGCTTAACCAGTTGTGCCAGTCACTGTGTGTGACAAAGAATGTTACAGTAAGATTCTGGGGAATGCTAGGTTCAGATTCTAGCTTTACTATGAACCTTGGTTCAGCTATTCTCTCTCAGCCTGCCTTAGAAGGTTACTGGTGGGGAAATGAGGGAGATTGAATCTGGTATGCTTCCCATGTTGTCCTGTGTTTTTATGGGAAGAGCCATGGCTCAGTAGTAGAGCATTTGCTTTGCATCCAAAGAGGGTATCTGGTTCAGTTCCTGGCATTTCTATAGTTTAAAAGGATTGGGAAGTCAGACCCTTGAGAACTGCTGCCAGTCAGAGTAGACAAGATTGTTCTTGATAGACCAAGGGTCTGACTTGGTATAAGGCAGGTTCATGGGCTCATGTGGGTTTCTAGGTTAATTGATTCCTGTGCATGAAGGTTGATTTACAACCAAGTTTCAACTTTCCTGAGTGTTATAATGCAGGGGTGTGTCTTCAGCTTTAGATATAGCTGGAGTGCATTCTTCCAGTGTTTATCCCTGTCTTCCATCTCCCTTTATTGTCTTTTTTGTTTAAAATTTTATATTGTAGGCTCTTTGGGGGCAGGAACTTGTTTTCCTGTACTCTGTAAACTTCCATGGAATTGATGGCAGTGCTGTATAAATAGTACAAACAAAACCAATGGTACAGCATTATAGAAATTTCAAAACTGCCAGGTAAGATCAAAAGAAAAGAATAAACTAAAGAAGTTTCTACTGTCCTCTGAAAAGAAGATAAGATGTGGACCAACTTGATCTCAAAGGGGAAAGAATTCTACAGATTGTCCACCACTGAAAAGGCTCCTGGTCATATCGAGCTCTTTCCCCAGGAATGCCTGGGTTCCCTAATATTTTGTCTTGGTGATGCATCCCCAGTCTCTCAGACCCACCTTCTATTCAAAGAATGGGGAAAGGGGCAAATACTTATGATAGTAGCTGCTCAGAGTATGCTAAATGGGAACCTCCGTGTTCAGAGGCAGTATATGGATTAATAGAACATGTTGGGGTCTAACCAACATGGGAGGGGGCTGCTGTTTTCATGCTGAGCTTGTGGCCCTTGATCCAGCTCTTTGCTAGGGCTTGTCTTGCAAAACTGGACCATCAGAAAGTTAGGTCCATCAGTGGCTATTAGCCACAAGGTATAGATAGGGACTCTGGGGCAAGTGATGCTCTGTCATCTTGGTGCTTGGGGGGGGGGGTCAACAGTGGGAGGGCTTCTAATGTCCTGGCCCCACTGGTGGACCTCCTGATGGCACTGGTATTTCTGGATACTGTGTGACACAGAGTGTTGGACTAGATGGGCCTTTGGCCTGATCCAACATTGGCATCTCTTATGTTCTTATGTTCTTAAAGTTCAGCTTCATTCAGCATCTCACTTCCCCGACTTAGGGGCACATGGTCAGGAAAGATAGGCCAATAATTTCACCTTCTGCCCTCTATCTCATTCCCCCCCCCAATTTATCCTTTATTAGGCACCACTGGAGGGGAGCGTAAGACTTTGGCCACCCTTGAGTCGGTTTCTGCCCGATTAGGGCATCCACAACTAAATACTCTTTAAACGCTGCTGACAGATCAAGAAGTTATTAGCAGTGCCGACCCACCTCGATTCAGATCTCTCCAGAGATCATCCACCAGGGCAACCAACACTGTCTCCATCCCATGAGTAGGGTGAAAGCTGGACTGGAAGGGATATACAGTGGCTGTGCAGAGGTCACTTGGAACTTCCTCTGCTGTGCTAGATGCAAGCAGTGTATAATGTGCCAACTCATGGTGTGCATCAGCCTGTACTACATGGTTTTTTGGCAGCAGTAGAAGGACCAGCCACATGCCAGGCATTTTCCAGCAATCTCCATATGGTTGCCGTAACATGAGACTGTTGATTTCTATCTAGCATACATCTAAGGCTCATTTTAAGCTTTCTATACTAGATGCATTTACAATCAACCAGGTGTCTGGTCTTTTTCCAGAGAAATAAAGTTGAGAATTTTGTTTTGCTACAACAGACTAACATAGTTACGCCTTTGCAATTATCTTGGAAAGCTTTTTCCAGAAATACACCGTATTAACAGTTAAATTTTGCATTTTTGTTGTATGCATACTCTGACCAGTGGGGCTGCAGCTGCCTACTGGGATTAGCACCTCTAGGGAAGGGAACCGAGAGAGGTGATGGGGAGTACAAACTATAAGGGATGAATGTCAGAGGCTTACTGCAGGTCCTTCTCAAAGGAAACTCTGGGGACAGCAGTAGCAGATGACATTGATCTTGGTCTGATGTGGTTTTGTGGCTGGGTTTGAGAGATGCATCAGATTCCTTTAATCCTCTTGTGTGCGGATATCAGGAAATATATGGGCAGCTTGCGTGTGTGTGTGTGTCGGAGTCTTTGTGATTACCGTTGCTTATAATAGTAAAATCCTTTTGCAGAGTGGGGAGGAGGGGGTCAATGTTTGGCATTTTCCTTGTGTTAACAGCTGTTTCCTTGTGTTAACAGCTTGCCTTGTCTTTGGTGGTTTTTTAATCTTGGGCTTGTCATATTGAGGCCCTTGGGTTTAGTTCTTGCAGTTCCTGACAGTAGCTTCCCATGCAGTCATATGTTTCATCTATATTACCAGAGATTCATGGCTTTCATATTGCATGTTTAAGCAATGTATGTGACCTGAGTGGCAGGCAAGTGCAGTTACTGGTGTGGTTATGGTGCTTGTATCTGCACTGTATGTCTGGAGCGGTTCTGACCCCCAGTCACCCCCTACTGTTGATTTGCATAGTGCATGCAGTCATCTTCCTGTGGCAGGTCTGTAGTATCTGCATACACAACCAGGTGTATCACTCTGGTTGCTTGTAATCTGTATCGTTCGCACAGTACACCTCATAAATCCTTTCGGCGTAAACACTGTATTCCTTAAAAAGTTCACTTTGTTTCTGGGGACTTGTTAGCACTATTCTTAAACTGGCTTTGTTTCTGGAATCTCTTCCAGTATTGGGAGGTAGATAAAATGCTGATGCAAGATCAAATTCTTCCTTTCTGGAATAACTGAGGCTCTATCCTTTACCACTCCTGTGTAAGGGGAAGTGATAATGCAGACAGGCTTATGCAGTTGTGAAGGGCACATTGCATTTTAAGAACAGTCACTTTCTCTGCCCTTTGTTTCACAGTTTCTGATAGCGTGGATATGCAGAGCTGAGTCTCTGCATTCTCTTCCTGGTTCGAGGACAGATTGCAGAACAGTAGGCAGGGAAGGTGCTTGTGTGGTCGTTACATTGGACCTTACCTGAAGGTTCTTTCTCTTCAGTGCGGGAGAAGTCATCCAGGAAGGGGTTAGGTCACGCCTCTGCTCGCTCGGATAGGCTATGCAAAATTCTTTTGTTACATGGCTCCTATTGGAGGGACCTAGGCTGACCTCTCCAGTTATGTCCAAACCCTGTCCTGTGTATGCTCTCCTTTTTTTTTTTGTTATTTTCTTTTACTTTCTTTCTGTCTTTTTTCACATTCACTTATTTTAGTATGTGCCACCCTTGGTTTGATCTTGAGTTTCTGGCTGTCCATCATAGGGTGGAATGTGGATGGCTTCGCTCCCACTGAAGAGAAAGAACCTTCAGGTAAGGTCCAATGTAACGTTCTCCTTCAGGGGGTGGGATGTGGATGACTTCGCTCCCACTGAAGAGAAAGAACCTTCAGGTAACGTCCAATCAGAGGTCATTTCGGGGGGGAACGCGGGGGAAGACAGTTTCCCTGGGTGAGGTACAGGGGGCGGGGCACATGACGAAGCCCCGCCCCCTGCTTCCGGCCGCCCCGCTTCCGGCCCTCATTCAGCCAGGAGGAGGCAGGAGAAGAGGGAGGGGGCTCGGCGGTGGAGCTGCAAGGCCGGCACGGGCGGCCGGGACCGTTGGGGGCGGGGTGTGTGGCCTTATGACATATTTCCGGTGATGTCAGGAGGTGTGGCCTTATGACACACTTCCGGTGATGTCAGGGTGTGTGGCATATGCTAATG